ACCTCTTCTAACTGTAATCTCATTTAAAACCAGTATGTACAGTTCTTTCTCTAACAGAGGAACAGTCTCAGCCAAATCACTTTGAGATTGTGATTTAATCCCTATATTTTAGGTCTTTGTTCAATTACAACTTAAATCTACAAGCATGTCACAGGTACTACTGTGTTAATACGAAACATGACCAGCTGTTACTCTCTTTTTTCATGTTTGCAACAAACCATTTTGGTTTCATTTGTTTCCAAATAACTTTCCGCAAGAGGTTTTTGCCTTTAAAGAGTGCTTTAACATGCTCTCCACCATCCTTATAGAGGAAAAATGTAAGAAAATTCTTATGGGGCTAAAAAAAAGGGAACACATTGATTTATTTTGTCAATGTTACAGAAATATTTTGCTTCATAATCCCTTTAATAGCAATGGTGTACCTTTTTAAGGGACAAAGATTGCTTTCTCTGAAGTATTTATTTTGCAGCAGAAATACACTGTTTTCTCTTAATTGTTGCAAAATTTTGTGTCACAGTACACAATATAAAATTTGGCAAGGGCTAATGAACTAATATCAGAGTCCATGTGTCTATCCTCTGCATTTTGCTGTTTTATGTAGGTTGGTCAGTGAGCTCATTAAAGAATATCTCTCCCTCACGAAGATACTACATGCACTGGGACATTCAGTTTTTTAATAGCCTTATAAAATACTGTTGTCATGACACTGACCACCAGAAAGAGCCAGCGCAATGCAGCCAATAGATTTATTCTGGAAGATATATTTCAGTATTATTCACCTTGTAAGTATGGTATTGGCAGAATAGTAGACAGCAAAAATTAGTATATTGCCTCAGACTCATTATGCTGCAAAATGTATGTGCACGTGAGAAGAGAAAAAAAATCTACTAATACAAATCACATTTGATTTTACCCTTTCTGGGCTATGAATAAAACATGATGAATGCTCTCAAAGAAAACAAAAATATATGATTTACAGAAGCACTGCACTATCCTTTACAAAGCCCTTATCTGCTTGAAAGCAAGATTTCCATTTGCTTTGCTTTGATGTGGAACCATTCTCAGAAGTCACCATTTCACCATTTCTATTCTGTTGGCTTATGATTATTATTGAATAACTGAAGTTATCACATTCTCCATAGTGAGGGGGGAGGAGTATCCAGAATGGGTTGACCTTGTCCTCTCATGATTGGANCTGGATACTCCTCCCCCCACTATGAGAAGAGGCGTATCAGGTAAGTACCAACGCCCTTTTTCAACGGGACAAAGAGCATGTTCAAGTTTTTATTCAGGAAGAAATAAGCTGGCAGTTACTTACATCTGTACTTCACCTTGACTGAATTAGGGATAAGAGATAGTTGCATGGAGGCCTTTTATAAGTCGAGATTTGCCTTTTGCCTAAACAATCTCTTAATTATAGCCCATGTTTGCTTTCTCAGCCTTGCATAGGTTTTTACTGTGGTTGTTTAGGCATTGAAACCTTGAGAATTCACTGAGTTTGCTTCACAGTTGCTGAACCTATGTATTATAATATTTGCAACTCAAGGTAAAACAGACAAATGGAGAGAAGGTTGTCTGTTAAAATCAAATGTCCATTAAATGACAAATGGCTTTTTTTCAGCCCCTCAAAAAACTCTTGTATGGGAAAATATGATTTAGTGATCATAATAATTGTAATAATCCCCCAAACTAGAGATTGTTAGTGTTGACCCAGAATATATTGCATCTAAGTCAGGGATACTGCTGGGTTTCTTTCCTCCCAATTCAATGGGTTTTAAAGAAAAAAGGATAATATAGAATAGTGAACATCTGTTTTTGAGGGAAACTGTCCAAACCTATTCATCAAACAATGGATTTTAACTGTTGTTTGGGGAAAATTCAATTGATTTAAGAAATGTGGACAAAATTCCAAAATATTTTTTTTATTAAATCCCCAATCTGCTAAACTAAAGTCCATTAAATGAAATATTTACCTTTCTTTGGAACAGTTTGTTTAAAATTCTAATAGAAGGAGTTCAACATCTTCTCACCCTGATATTTAATTATTGACTTTATGGCTCAATCTTTGTGTTGTGATTCATATGTATTATGTAATCCATTGAAAGGTGTTTGTGACAAGACCAGAGATGATACATTCTGTTTCAGCAGAAGCAGGAGGCTGAGTAGATTACAGGATATCTGTTGTTATAAAGCTGAGCTTATAAACCCAGATGCCTGACATACATCCCATGTACTTGTAACCCATAGATCAATGATAGCTAACCTTTTTGTCCCTGCGTGCCAAAAGTGTGTGCACTCACACGACAGTGTGGGCATGTGTGCCCACATCCATAATATAATGCGCACCTCCACAACCCACCCCTGTGCATGCACATGTGACACATACACACATCCTGTGCCCCATTTTGGGTCTAGCAGGCCTCCCTGAAGCCTTCTGGGACCAAAAATGATGTGCGGGGGCGCCCCCACCCACACTCTCTCCTGTGAATGCTTACGCTGTTACAGGAGTTATGTCAGCTTTGTATGCAGCTTTATTTCTTTCTAACATTCATCTCCATTGTTTAGTGATGCATTTTCTGCCTCTCTAGGATTCACCTCTATCTGCTCCTGTGAGGTACTTCCTGTTCCTGTTGGATGTATATCGATAGCTTGTATAGTGTTTTGCAGAGACCCGTAAATCATCTGGCTGGCAGAGCATGCTTAGTGGAGCTCAGCTGGGGTTTGCGTGCTGGCAGAGAGGCCGCCATGTGGCACCTGTGGCACACATGCCATAGGTTCACGGCCATAGGTATTCAAATCCTATCACTGTTATTATTTCTGTTATAAGAAATATAACACATTCTCAGTTATCGCACAATTTGCTTACTTGAGCATGAACTATTACTATTGTATATGAAGGCCCAGAGTAAAATTAATCCAATTATTTTTGATTCCAGAAAGAAATTCTTAGATGTCATTAATGAATATATGAAGAACATTTTATTTCCTTCTCATTTTTCTGGAAACGTGAAGGGCTTAAAGGAATTCCTTTTATTGATACTCATGATACTGAACACTTAAAATATCTGGTTTGACAAGTATCTGATCTTTAGCACCTCAACATTTATATTTATTTCTCTGGTAATTTACTGAATTCAACCATTTTAGTAAATATCTGTGTTAACTCAAGCATTCCCAACTCTTTTTATGAACTATTCATGAAGATCATGACTACATAATTAAAATTATGCAACTGTGAATTTTCTGTCATGAATGATTATATTTGCTTGGATTTTTTCTCAACTGATTTGAGAATAAACAGTTACATTATTGTTAAGTTGAAGGCAGATTTTAAGTGGAACCAATTTTAGGCCTGTCAAGGAATTTTCTAAATGCCACTTGGTTCTCAAATGTCAGGCATGAAAAACCAGATTCACATGTGAAAGTTCTACTTAATTGGTTTATTACTATAGTCTATGCACAGGAATCTGCTCAGACTAGTGTTTAGAACCTGGACAGAACTAGATAAGCATTAATGGCATTCAAAGGGGATTGGACTTCGTTCTTTTGTGGCTATGTAACAATTCTAAACTGATCCCTTGTTTAACTTCTCCCCCTGGCTCTGCTACGTCTCCTACAAAAATAGGATTCTTTTCATCCATAGACCTTTAAGACTGCTGGGTCCTAAATATATCAATGTTTTTTTTTCTGTGTATATCTCTACCTTTGCATAATAGTGTACACCACGTGTCTAGGACAGTGTACATATTCAAATTTAGACAGAACAAATTATATTCTATTCCAGTGATGGTTAACCTTTTTGGCACCAAGTGCCAAAACTGGAGTGCACAGAAGAGAGCAGCTTCCGGTGCACATGCATGCCAGACTAGCTAGCCAGTGGGCAGGCGCACAATGGAACCCGGAAGAGCAGCAGGTGACGGTGCATGTGCCCATAGAGAGGGTTCTGCATGCAACTTCTGACACACGTGTCAGGTTCGCCATCACGGTTCTATTTTCTCAGTCCTCAAATGTGATAACCACTAGTCCCAATTATTTAATTGACTGGTGGAAATCCTAGGTATGGAAACTAGCAATTCCATCTTCCTATGGATATTGATTCATTCATAGTCTGTCATTGGAGGCACATGAGGTGAGCATCCCTGATCAGAATCACCAGCCACTAGTAGTGGCCATTACACAATAAAATTTCATTTATATTTTGAACTGATACGCATTAAAATATTTTACCTACTATTCACTCTTGATTTATAGTACTTATATTTAACCTTTGTTTTGTCATACTTTGCCATAGTTATTTAGGAAAACTCCGATTAAGTGTCTTCCACTTCTCCAAGTATTTTCTAATTTCTAATATTCTGCTCAATTTCAAATATTCTCCCCCAGCCTCTTTAAGGAAACAATATTTAATACTACTACCCATGTTTTCCCAAAAAATAAGACTCTGTCTTATTTTTTTGCCACCAAAAAAGGCACCAGGTCTTATTTGGGGGGGGATGTTGTCCACTGACTCGCCTCACTTTGCACGTTGCCTCCAGCCTCCTTTTCGCGCTCAGAGCCCTTCAGGAACTTCTTCGAATGGCAAGGCCAGCAAGTCTTTCCTGAAGACCTCTGCAGCCAACAACAGAGCTCCAGATCGATCTAGAGCTCTCTTATCAGCTAGAGAGGCCTTCAGGAAAGGCCTTCAGGAGAAATGCAGAAGAAATGCAGGCCTTCAGGAAAGGCCTTCAGGAAAGCTGCAGAAGGTATTTGAGGCCTGGCTGCAACTATTCAAAGGTAAACAGTAGGGCAACTCCACCCCACCCCCTGTTCCCACCCTAGCTGAATTTTTACCCATGCACCATGGAGTGGGCGGATTCTTAATTGGGGCTTATTTTGGGGGGGGGGTGTAGGGCTCATATTGGCTGCATGTGTAAAAATCAAGCTAGGACTTACTTTCTGAGTAGGTCGTATTTTCAGGAAAACACAGTATAATTTATAATACTTGCCCATTTATCTTTCAGGTCAAGAACGTTTTGGAAATATGACCAGAGTATACTATAAAGAAGCTGTGGGAGCTTTTGTAGTTTTTGATGTCACCAGAGGATCAACATTTGAGGCAGTTTCCAAGTGGAAACATGACTTGGACAGTAAAGTAGCGCTTCCCAATGGCAGCCCAATCCCAACCATTCTACTTGCCAATAAATGTGACCAGAAGAAAGACAGTAGCCAAAATCCTTCTCCTTCTCAGATGAATCAGTTCTGCAAAGAGGGAGGCTTTGCTGGATGGTTTGAAACTTCTGCTAAGGTAAGGCTATTCCTAAAAGAAGAACTTCTCTCTGTGTTTCAGAACTGACCTGCTGACCTAACCCAGCCTTGTAGTTTGGTGCTGCTAATTCAGAATTGCACAACTTCTTGCTTTCTGGATTTCTAGATATCAAATCATTGATTTGATATCATTGATCTCAAAGAATCAAGAAGAACTTTAATGAAGAAATTAAAGTGCTTTAGGCAAACCCATCAGTCGGCAGAAATATGTAACTGGATATTGCCAGCAATATTTTCCTCCATTTTCCAACAAAAGGAGAGCTAAAATCTTACACAGCAATATTTTTTTGAATGGTGTTAGCCCTTCCCCCATTCTTTTGAAAGCCTATATTTTTTGATAATATAATAGCCCCAATGTTGCAAAATTATGTTTACCTGTACATGTATTGCAATTCTATTTTTTCAGTCTTCATCCAGTATGGAAACTTAAAAGTGATAATGAGCTTGTGGAATTCTATGTTTTTCATCATCTTTTATAAGTGCAGTAAAACCTTGGTCACAACCATAATTCATTCCATAACTTTGGTCATAAACTGATTTGGTTGTGACCAGAAAATAATTTTGGAAATTTGGCGCTTACAAAAAATGGCGTGAAAGGGGAAATCGGCCACGAGGGGGATGGGAGTGTTGTGAATTTTTTGGTCGGAACTCGATTTGGTCGTGGTCAGAAACGTTCTTAAACATAGGTTCTACTGTAGATAGCTAAACATGAAATGGGAATAAATTCTCCGTAAGGTCTATAACAACAATGAAAATAAATAATTAAGGGCTTGATAATCATTATATGATCCCTTTTTCTTTTTTAAAATTTACTCAGAGTAGTTGGATCAAAGTGGTTTAAAAATGTTGCCAACATCAAATGATTTGTTACTGCCTATATTTATTTAATGATGCTTGGTATGTGTATAAAGAAAAATTTTACCAGCTGCTGAACATAGCAGGATAATCCCTTCGAGTCATATTTTAACTTTACATTCATTCATTTAGTTCTTTTATGGTGCACATAAATGATCTGGTCCTTAATTTTGGGGGGGTTTGATGTTCATGGGAAGAAAGTAGAACAAAAGAAAACCCAAAGTCAGGCTGGCCTTTTAATAAAAGAACACAACAACCTGGGACAGTGATTGCTGGCCGAAAGCTCAGGTGCATATGGTCTAAAAAAAAAAAAGTGGCAGCCACCATTCCTTGCTCTGAACAAGCATTTAAATACCTACTTGTGAATCTGTTACTTATCATAAACAAGTAAAAAGTATAAATTCAGAGATGGAAAATTTGATATTTGATTAAAATCTAGATATTCTTTCTTGAGTCTATTCCTGAGAAAAAGTTGTAAAGTTCAGTGGCTAAATACATCCTCAATATAATGAAGGGTTTTCTTTTGGGCTTGGCAAGGAATAACAGAGTTTATTTCTTTGTGATTCAGTGGGCTGAATCAGTTAAATCATGATTTAAATCACTAGTAAAAAAGCTTGATTTAAATCAACTCAATTTAAATCGTATTTTTTAAAGAGCAACTGTCATCTCTGTCCCATAGCGGCTCCTCCTCTGACTCGCTGTTGCCTCACCGACAGTCCCATTTACTTGAATGGGACAGCTGGTGATGCAGCATTAATACAACAAGGTGAAGGGTGTGGCGGGCAGCAGGTGAGTGGATGCCCGCTAAGAAGTGCTGCCATGATGGATCTGAAATGACAGGTACCCTTTCAATGTAAGAACTCATTCTTGCTGGTAGCTAGAATCTTTAATATTATTATTTGCAAACAAAATGAAGGTTTCCTATTTAACTTGGAGAGCTTGGATTCATTGAATGCGTTTACCAAAAATGTAAATACTGCACAATACACAGCCTCATGCTACATAACTAAGCTCCATTTCATGCTGAAATCCTGTTAACTGTACATTATTAGTTAACTTATGAATCAAGACCATCGTGATTTATTTAATGTATATTATGACTCTGTATGTTGGCTAAATATGACATTAAACTCTAGTCTTCCAAGTGAAGAGAGCATACGTTTTTACATATGCAAGTAGTTATATAAGGCAGGATGAATGTCTTGCTTGGCCTTTTACCATAGTGAATCAAGAAAGAAATAGCCCAGCAGCTCTCAATTCTTTCTCTCAGTTCAAATAAACCAATTTATGGATCCCAATGTCATGTTTGAACATATACAATGTTTAGTGCCTGTTTGGCAGGGCTCATGCAGTGAGGAAAATCTAATAAAGATGCTATGCCAATACATAGTGTATGTTGAAAACATAAATTCAGTTTTTCTCCAACTGCAATTTGTTGCATTCCTGCAAAGGTCAGCTGCAGTGTAAAATAAGACAAGTTCTAAGGACGGTGACATGTTTTATTAATAAATTATTTCCAATGTTCTCTCTAAAAAGCAGAGATCTAGATACCGTATTTATACTGAAGCATTATGCACTCTCTTGATCCTTGTGTGCAGGAAAGCATTAACTTGTCTCCTGGTCTCCTTAGGATAACATCAACATTGATGAAGCTGCTCGGTTCTTGGTGGAAAAAATCCTTGCCAACCTGAAAGCCTTCCCAAATGAAGAGAATGACGTTGATAAATTAAAACTGGGCCTGGATCCTCTAAAAGCAGAAAGTAAATCCCAGTGCTGCTAGACATAGGTCTTGTATCAATACATCATGAGAGCAGGATGTTTGTCTTTCTCATGCTGGACAGCTGCTGTGGTGCTTAATCACAACTATCTTGTGGGGTATTAGTTCTTCACATTCCATGGTGTTTAGATTTTTTTAAAAATCAAATAAGACTTAAGAGTTACACGTATGCTATTTTCTTATTGGTAAGCTATTTAGTATAGTCACAAGCTGGCATCCCTCTTTAAACAGGTAGGATCTAGATGAAAGACTTGGCTTCAATTCCTGGTTAACATGGTGCAGAACTAGAGTAGAAAAGGCAGTTCAGTTGGAATTATTCATTTTATTAAGAACTATACACTTCCTTATTTTTTTAATATGTCAAATTTCTTTACCACCTTGCTCTAATGTTGCTTGTTGTCTTGTTTAACACTAGGACTCTGAAACAAAAAGACTTCCAAGCCATTGGGAGCCATAAATAATTCTGAGGCAGGACTGAGCAGGGATTCCTCATTTATAATGTGCCTTAAAGTATGTAAGAATCTAATGCTTGGAATATAAGGGTAGTTGGATAGTGTGAAAGAACTAAGAATATATTTGTGCAATCCGTCAAATAAATGAGTAACAATTCATTTCTGACTGTTTGGGAAGAGACTGTCTCTGGTATATTTTCACATGTTAACTAAAATTATGTACAATGAAATTTGAAAAATAAGTGATCCCTTACTGTATAAGGACAGAAAAAGATTTCATGATGTCTGGGATGAACATGAATAATGTTTATTTTTATGAAACCATTCGTTAACAGAAGACTATCTTTTAAATTAGAGATGATTTAACCTACAAATAGTCTTTTTTAAAAGCAGGCTATTTTTTATAGATGTAATATTTCTCCAATTTACTATTTAACACAGGGAATTAAGAATTGATAATGGGCATACTTTCATGCACAAGAATAATTTGCAAATGTACACTTGTTTCTTAAGAAATGTTCATTGTTATTTGTGATGATGTCTGTGAATGTTTGGAGAAAAGACTACAAAGAAATACTTTCACATTGCAGTTAATATTTACAGCTGTGGGTTCTACTATCTTTTCTGTATATTACACCGGTCAAATGTAACTTTTCACCTGCTGCAAACTGCAAAGTACTTTGGACTACAATGACACTCTTCAGATTTAGACTGGATCATATATGTATTTTTGTGTATCTGATGCTGCATTTAATATTAATGCAAACTATATAATAAAAATACTTAAGATTTTTATAAGATAGTGTCAGGTAGATTGTCACTTGTACAAACAGAAGAATGCAAACAACATGCCTCAGGTTGATAATCTTATATTCTAGGCCTGTGCTACCTTTGTAGAAATTTATATGAAGTCAGCTATGTTTTAAATCTTGGTTTGTCAAAATATTCTTTGTTCCTTTGGTTTTCTACTTAAATGCTGAATGTTCTTGAATATATTACGTTCAAATTCTAAAATGAGCAAATCAGTTTAAACAAAAAGTCAACGTGCTCTATAAAGAAAAATAAATAGAGACCGTAAAATTACAAAAAAGTTCCAAAAGACTTCAGTACAACTGATTTGGAAAATACATGTTCATTCATCTCAATCTTTGTTCTTGAAACTAAGATATAGCAACTTTATACAGAATGATTTTCAGTAGGCTTTCAAGATGTTACTTTTAAGTACTGTATAACCCTCAGGAAAGGAAACACTTGCACTTGTATAGATTCAAATATGAATATGAGATTTATAGTGTTTGGTTAAGATAATAAAGTTTTTGTCCTTCACTTTAGATCATCCAGTAAAAAAAATACACCTTCTTTTTGTAAAATGGAAATCGGCTGCTTTGCTAGAATAATATCACATCATTTTTAAAACCAGATTGTTTATTTTTTCAATTTCAATTTCATATTTCCCTTGTTTAAACATTAGCAACATGTCTTATATTATCTTTCTTAATTATTGACCATGCATATTCTGAGAACTGAAATTATTGACTTGAAGTGCTGAATGATTTAGTTTTGCATTACAAAGTTTAATAGGTCTGTGATTGAAGAAATAAATATTTTAAGAATTTTAGAAGGGGAGACAATGCTTGTTCCCAACATTCAGATGACTGGGATTATTTCCCCATTTTATATCATCTAGTCCTGAACATTTTAATATTTTTATACAAAATAAATGCAGTTGGCAGCATATTACATTAGCAAGGAATGGACACATGTCATTATGTGTTTATATTATGAAATGTAATATATTCAATTGAAATGCACCAAATGGGGAGCAAAGTATTCTTTCAGTAATAACAAGTTTACTAACTCATATTCAGTCATTTGACTATTTAATTATTTAAAATACCTTTCTATGAGAACTTTTGAGATACGCAAAAAGCATCTGGAAGCTCCAGTTGGTACAAAATGCAGCAGACTGCATGATTTTGTGCAGACCCCGATGTGCACATATGTCACTTCTGCAGGAGCTGCATTATTGCCGCTTTGCTTCTGGGTGCAATTCAAGGTGCTGATTGTCACTTTTAAAGCCTTTCATGGCTTGGGACCAGGCCACATCCACTTGACCCACTAGAGTGAGAAGGCAAGTGTTCTGACCTAGGCTTCCCAAGAGCATGCAGCAAACTCCTTGTCCCAAGAAAAATCCCTTTTATTAATTTACTGTGAATTCTGTTCATTCACATCAAGGGAGGATTTATAGTCACAGACTTTATCTGGCTGGGAGAGCTAACAGGCTGATATCTGCAAAAATATCAAGGAATTTCGGAGAGTCATGAACCAATTAAGCAAACTAATAGTCTCCTGCAAACTCCACTCCCCTTTGGCTCCTCTTATTTCCTCTGGGAGGGCCATTCACCGTCCACCTGTGGCCTTACTCCCAAGTCTACCCCTGTTCTTTAGCTGTTCCCTTCATCTGGCAACTCTGCACATGTGCACACTGGGAACAGGCTCCAGCTGTTCATCTGCCTCACTGATGTCTGACTCTGAAAGCAGCCAATAACTGGCATATGGCTCTGGCCCCCTCTCTGCCTCCGACACAGAGCCCTCATCAGACTCCAGTTCTGGCCTATGTTCCTCCGCAACCTCATCACTATCCAAATCTACTGCCAGCTCTGCTGACCGCTGGCAGACCACAACAGCAAAGAAGGTCCTGTCATCTAAGGAGGTATATCTGGCGGGACTCAGAAGAACGGCCTTCTCCATGGTGACTCCCTCCCTTTGGAACATCCAGAAAATAGACTGGCCCCCACTCTAACACTCTTTCGGAAGCCCTGAAGACATTCTGCCAGCGGGCCTGGAGAATCCATCAAATGGCTGGTATGAGTGTTGTCGCAGGAATCGGGGGGGGGGGTATTATTTTTATTTCTTTTATATTGTGTTTTTATTTCCTGTAAGCCGCCTTGAGTCACTATGAGCAATTAGGCGGCAATATAAATTTCCCAAAATAAATACGTTCTCATGAGAAAACCATGCTGTTTTCAGACAAGCATGATAAAAGATTGCCCTAATGACCTATGCTGATAGGCAAATCTCTTAATGTGAAAAATAGTTGCACAGTTTAGCATAAGCTTAAAAGCCAGAGATCTTAACAGGTCTACATTCTGTGCAACTTCTTATAACTAACAGAATAAGATAAGTAGTAGAGCTTTCTAGGCGGATAGCTGTGTTAGTCTGTGCCAACAAAGTGACAAATATTTGTGACACCTTTAAGAGAACAGTATAAGAATTTATTTTTATAGATTTTATTTTAAAAAACTATAGCTTTAACAAAATATTATAAAAAATACTTCAAAGCTTTTGTGCATCTGAGGGATGTATATATAATTTAGTCCATAGAAATTTGAGCTATAACGAATGTTTTAATCTAATATGCCGAAAGATTCATTATTTATACTAGTTTAAATTATCACAGCTACATTACTTTTTAGGCCATTGTAAATCCTCATTTAGTCTATTTCATCCTGTAAATCATATTTCCTGTCCTAGGTGAGGAATTGAAAAGGGAATAAAAAATACAGATTTTAAAAGATAAAAATATACTTTTTGTAGAGACAAATAATTTGTGAAACACTAAAATTGTTCCTCTGCAAATTTGACTATTCTGTGGTGGGGTAGTATGTGACTTTAAATCAGTCTTCTTCCATCTCTTCCCTTACGGATATATTTTATTGTCAGGTCGTGAGAACGAGTACAATACACATGATAGGCATCTGGTTTAGAGAAACTGATGAGTGGAACATTTTTGTATTAAATAACTTAACTATAGAATTATGGTAAACTGACATTTAAAAAAGATGCCCTGTGTTCTTTATTAATATCTCAGTATTTATAAGGGGCATATATCACATTTTTAAAAAGGGTACTAATATTTCATTTACATAAAACACTCCTGGAAAAAGTGAAGAAAATAATCCAGCAACAGAAAGTCTAGTTCAAGTCTAGATAATCTTATGACACTGGTTTGAGAGCAATGATTAAACTTGAAGGAATTAATTCCTAAGCAACATTCTTAAAATAACCCTGCAAAAGCTATCGCTAAGATGTAAGCAATGTATAGCAATAGAGTAATAAGAAACCCGAGTGGTGAGGCTAAGTTTAAATTTATCCTTAACAGAATTCACTGCATATCTTCATTTCAGTCACTTTATATTAACAAAACAAATTGTTAGTAGGGAGGATGAAATAAATGGAGATTCCCATGTAAGACATGTTGAATTTTTGGGTAAAGAGCAGGATAGAAACTTAACAAATCATACAACCACATTTTTTTAAATTTATCACTTGGTACTTCATGTGGCAGTTTTTCAGAATTTCTACTCGCTGACAAGATGTAAAAACCCCAAAATTATACACGTCTACATATGTCAGGGATTTGTGCATCATCTGGATTAATTCTCCATGTAGGAATAGCTGTTTTTCTGTAAAGAATTTGCTTTCTGGTCTTCACATAGATACAAAACAAATTTAACCCGTTTTTTCCTTTGTTCATCTGACTCAATTTATGTTTTAACTGCACACATCTACACTAATCTACTCAGAAGAAAGGCCCATTGAGTTCAGTTTGAGTTACAAATGTTTATATAGATTGTACCAAAGTTATAGTTGGAGATGCTCAAAAATTTATATGACATATAAGTGACATGCTATTAACAAGTTTTTTTCTCTAAATTACATAGATGTGTGAATAGAAAAAAAATACAATAGGAATAGTTGAATTGTCTCTATTGTAGCTAGTTTTTCTAAATTATATTTCCTACTGCATGCTGAATCTTTCCTAGGCATCAAATCACACATTAGGGTTCAGGTTCTGAATAACTACTTATGGTCATGACTATTCAGAAGCCAAATAATGTGTTTTACATACTGTGGATACAATCCTAAATTTAATGATGAAGTGATCCATTCATTAGTGTCTGACTCTATGGGCCATATCTTTCCATGTTTCTTAAATTTAATAGGATGCTGCAACATTCTTATGTGTTTTAATAGTGACACATCTTTTCAGAGTAAATTAACTTCATAGTAAACAGGGTTATTTCAGGGAACATTCACCATAGGTTACACATTCAATGCTGCTTTTGACATTTGTTTCAGATTAAAGGGATAGGATCCTATGGAAAAGTAAGAAATTTCCAGATCAGCTTCTGCAGGAATGCACAATGTCAATTCAAGGATCATACCAAGCTTTGTGACGTACATAAGGGACTGCACTGAGAGAGTGGGTGGAACAATCATTTAGGGAGTGAAATAATGGTTACCTTATTATTTGTCTATTAAAAACACTTTAAAAATAAATAAATGTGGTTAAAGTTAGACCCACCCACAAAGAGGATGCTTTTTACACTTATGAGCTTACAAATAAACGCAAATCCAGCTCTGTTGAGTACCGGATCTTAAATACAGAATACCAACATAGGGTTCTCAAAAGTTGGTGGTCCAATCTTTCTTAACTTTGTGCAGAGCTCTTCCTCCTTCTCTTCCTCCATTTCTTCTCAGGGGTAGCCTCTTTCACTTTATCATTTCATCTAATACCACTGTTTATATTTCTCATTTCTATACTATACAATATCTATCCAGATATTTATGTGGTTTTTTACTTATTCCAAATAGCTTCTACTGGGTCTCCCTTATGACTAGTTTTTACTCAATCTGTTGGGAGATTATTTTCTAAAAAAATTTCTATAGGGCTCTTATTTTTTCCAGGGGTTCTAATTTTTCTCCCCCCCCCCCCGCTTTTATTCCATGTCCTT